CGTACGTACTTTCTACAAAGACATCCAAGAAAATCACTACTCAATATCCAAACCTTATCCAAATTATTCCTACCTCAATTGTGTTTAAATTCGCTTCAATTCATGTTCCAATACTTTTCTGACTTGAAAAAATCAAAATGTCTGCCACTTTTGAATCAACAACAAGAAAACTTTTCACACCACTCACATTGGGAACTGACAAAATTCCAGCCACTCAGAGAATTACTTTGTCCCATCGTATTGTGATGGCTCCACTCACTCGTTGCAGAGCAGTGGATGTAAGTAGTACTATTCCTATTTTGATTAATCAACAATTTTCATATATTGAACTGTTAAACACAAATATTAGGGAGATTGTGAACAAACAGAACACGCAATTACTTACTACTCTCAACGTGCCACACCAGGTGGTTTAATCATTGCTGAAGCTTCACAAATTACTCCACAAGGACAAGGATATCCATGTTCTCCAGGTTGTTATTCTCAAGCTCAGGTTAAAGCTTGGAAAAAGGTGACAGATGCTGTCCATCAAAAGGGAGGTGTCATCTTTTTGCAATTGTGGCATGTTGGTAGACAACGTTATGCTGACAATGTCTCCTCTTCTGCAGTTCCAATTCAAAATGATACATCTACAAATTTGCAAACCAGGGAACAACAATTGCCAACCACTCCAAAGGCATTGTCCATTGAGGAAATTAAGGTCATTATGGGACAATATAAGCAAGCTGCTAGCAATGCTAAATTGGCTGGATTTGATGGAGTAGAATTGCATGCTGCTAATGGTTATCTAGTTGACCAATTTTTACAAAATGGAGTTAATAAGAGAACTGATGAATACGGTGGCTCCATTGAAAATAGATTGAGATTTATGCGTGAAGCTATTTCAGCATGTATTGAAGGATTTGATAATGAATCAGATAGAGTTGGAATTCGTTTGAGTCCAAGTGGATGTTTCTTGGAAATTAGTGATTCAGATCCAAAACCACTCTTTGAAGCAGCTGTCAAGGCATTGGATGAATATGATTTGGCATATATTCACCTTGTAGAACCAAGAATATCAGGTGGAGCAAACTCAGATGATGGCCAAGCTGAATCCAAACCTGTGGTTGTAACCAAGGAATTGAAACCATTGACAAGATCTCCAATTATTTCAGCTGGTGGTTTTACTCCAGCCACAGCAAAGAGTACCACTGAAGAGGGTGCCACAGATATGATTGCTTTTGGAAGACACTTTATTTCTAATCCTGATTTGGTTGAAAGAATTAGAAATGGTCATCCACTCAATCATTATGATAGAAGTACTTTCTATGGCTCCAATGATGTTGTTACTGGTTATATCGATTATCCAACTTTTCAATAATTATCATCTCACACACTGATTATTTAATTTCCTCTTTTGATTTTTTCTTTTTTAATAAATGAAATTGAGACTAAATTATTAAATAATATTTGGACTTTTTTTTGGAACTTTATGTTGGATGAGATTATTGGACTTTCGTCTGAAAACATGTTGGTGGTGCAATTTTGACCTTTACAATATGTAATTAAATTTTAATTTAAATTTTGAATTTTCAAAAAAAAATGAAACAAGCAAAACCACAGAAACTCTACCACATTCTAGTAACGATCGATTACGATCAGGATGATTATTCCGACGAGCTATTCTACTCTGTTCTGGAAAAAAAGTTCAACCTCAAGCATGGAATTGATTTTGAGGAGAATACTTTGTGTGAGGGCAAATATCATCTCCGATTCCCAAATATTTCATGTGAGAAATTTCAACAGATTTGCAAGGAAATGTACCAAGAACCTGGAGGATTGAGTAGAGATCGATATTTAATTAAGGCCTATCCCGATCATATGCATTCTCTGCCACCATGTTGGTATGATGATTTGTGTGAAAAGTGTAATGATTTGAAAGCAGAAAAGGAGTGGTAAAATATTCTTCCCAAATATTGTTGAAATTTGTGGTGTAATATTGTTGATCATCACGAAAATAATAATAACAATTTTATTGAGAGATAAATTTATCGAATTCTTGATGCAATTGCTTCGATTTCTAATAACTTGTTGTTGACAACATACCAAATAATATGATAAAAACTGTAGAGCAAATGGTGCAATCACTGAGGAGCATTTACTTTCAATAGAAAACTGCCTTCCAAATAGAATAATGACGAAAATCATGGATAATTTGAAATATTCCTAACATGTAAAATAGGATACCAAAACACTATGAAATACCTTGCCTAATTTGTGTCAATTGGTTAAAATATTCATAGATTATGAGAATCGTGCTGAACCGTATAGGCAGTGATTCTTCCTGTAATTTTCTGTTACTGAGTTTTATACGGCCTCCGTGTTCAACCATTGAACATTATGAACAATAAATGTCAAACGCCAATTAATTATCAATTTTCAATCATTTAAAAAATGTCTCACTCATCTCTCATTATCTTTGTCTTGCTCTTACTGTTCTCTGCTCAATTCATTCAATCAGAACAAACCAAGGACGAATCCATCAACCAATTAATATCTGCTTGTAGAGGTTATATTCCATCACTTCCAAGAGAATTAGCCACCTGTCAATGGTATAACCCAAACAGTTGCTGCACAGTTGACAGCTCAAAGAAAATTAAACAAGGTTGGGAAAGTCAAAGTGGAAGAAACAGTGGCTCATCAAATGTTACCATTCCTCAATTCCTTGTTGAAGCTTTTGCTGGTGGATGCTTAGATGAGTTGCATCAATATAGTAAGTAGGGAAAACTTTCAATTTCCAATTATTAACATCACTTCCTAAGTTTGTTATTTGTGTTCTCCTGGACAAACCAATTTCATTGAGGAAAAGATTCAAATTCTGGGTCAGAAATCTATCTTGTACTTGTGTTCATCATTCTGTGACAGATTGTACAGTAAATGTGCTCTCGTTCCAGTTACAAATGGAAAACCTGTCATTACCTCTTATGCAAGTGGAAAGGATTTTTGTGAAAGTGGTTTGAATGATCCTTCCAATCAATTGCAAATCAAGGTCAGAGATGCCAACTGTTTCAATAATGCAGGTATCTTGAAAGCTTCCGTATTGGTTATTGTTGCATTATTGTCTGCCATGTTATTGACACTTTAAAGAGTTCAAATCATAACTCAAAATAAAATAAATTCATTTGTAAATTTGTACACGATTATTGTGTGAGTCTACAATGAGTAGCTCACCAGTGATTTCATTAAGACAGCAACTTGTCTGATCCATAAATCTATTATTTTCATTCCTTCCTCTTGCACCAAATGATTTAATAAATGTTCCCTCCTTATTGAAAACAGCCATTGAACTTGTTCCATACGAGCAAATTATGACATTATGGTTATTTCTATCTATTAATGCAGCACATGGCATATCTAAAATTGTTTTCTCGCTTCCATCTTGAACTACAGTAGTTTCCAATTCATTTCTCACCACCCAAGTACCATCAGGACTTTCTCTGATATAGAAAACACTCTCTCCCATCATTGCCAAGACAAATTCATGAGCTCCAGAATTGAAATTATAATCTATACCAACAGGTCTAGCGAATGAATAATTGATAGGGTCATTTGGGATCTCAAACGAAACAGCTTGAGTAATCTTCTTCACTACAGACCCATTAGCACAAGAGTAGACAACAATGGTATCAGTTGCACTATTGCAACAATACAAGGTATTTCCACTCGTTTCATACTTGATAGCACAGCATTGAAAGCAGCTAAATCTTTCAAATTTGGTCTTCCAAATGGGTGTAGCTCTACGTGATCTATCAGACTTGAGCAATTGTAACAAATCATATTTGAGATAATTGTTACCTGTTGAGCAAATGAGTGCTTCATTCTTTTCCCCATCATAATTTTCTTCCAATACGAATTGCCAAGGAGCCAACTCTGTGAAAAAATCAGATTTGTACAGACCACTATTCAAATCAAATACCATTATTCTTCCATTCACACTATCCGATACTAAAATAATCTCATTTCTATATGAAATCTTCACATCAAGAGGAGCATTCATCTTCTCAGGAGTATTAAACTTGTCTCCCTTTGTTTGCACATATTCAAAATCCAAAGAAAAGGCAACAGGTATTTTCGATTTTAATTTCTTTCCCAACTTGGCAAACAAGTTATCAACCTCTTCACTTGTTAACTTTGTTTCTTCTTGTTTGGCCTCTTCGGGATTGATCTTCCTCTTCTTGAGCCTACTTTCAAAATTTTCATCATTGTTATCAACTGATGACGAGGAAGCCTGGGGAGAGATTTTACATGTTTCCTAGAATAATTTATTAACGATTTGATGATCAATCACTTTGATTTAAAAGTACGCACCATAAAATCTAACAAAATAATGCGGTGTGGCATTTTGCTTCTTTTTTTTCAGATATGAAATTGTGGCGCCAAATTCTTCTTCCAAGCAATGGAAAATCGATACTTTACAAAAATTTGGACACGATTGCCCAAAACACTACTGCACCACGTGCTCAGGCACTATTTACGCTGGGTTGTGGGATTTGGATTTTAGCTTTGTTGTGGGCCGGTATGAAGTTTGGCATTTTTGGTTTTGGGTTGGAAAAGATTATGTGTCATATCTTACCAGCATCCAGTAGAAACTTATAAATTATTGCATTTCTCATTAAATACTTGACAATTTCAGAATCTGACTTCACCCTCTGAATGGAAATTTCGTTGCGAGCATAACAATGGTTTCAAACTTGAAAGTAGTTTTCCTATGATTATTTTCAACAATTAAAACATAAAATACTGAGTTTATTCGAGTTGTGTGATGGCATTTATGCCAACCGTGAAAAGAATACGTGGTGAATAAGCCAACTCTATTTTGGCAATTTTACAGTCTTTCCAAGTTTTGATTATTTCATTCACAATAGACGAACGAATAAAACCCAAACATTTCCAAACATTGGTCTACCACGGAGTCCAAGGAAAGGATGTTTTATGATACTTTTGAAAATCCATTACGGACAATGGTATGTGCAATCTTGAGATATATCACAGCTCATGAGAATATGAGATTACACACTCTCTTTAAGAGTTTACAACAAGTTGATATCAAAAAGAATCCACAAAAAAAATGAGCGCACAAATCTTGAAACAATTCTTACCAGGTTCTACCAGAGGTAAGTTTTGTTGATCATCACATTTAAATGTGATTAATATTATTGTGTTATTAATTCATTTTGTAATATTCGTGAATATCTAATTATCGGATCATTTCATTTAAATATTTGAAATTAATATTGATCGGAATTGATGATGATACATATTGATTAGTCGGCTTCCTTGGAGTTGGTGTTATGGGAAAGTCCATTGCCACTAATTTAATTAACAAAGGATACAAGAATATGACTGTTTATACTCGTACTAAATCAAAGGCTGATCCATTGATTGAACTCGGAGCCAAGCTTGCTGCTTCACCAAAGGAAGTTGGAGCCAATAGTGATGTTGTTATCAGTATTGTTGGTTATCCATCGGATGTGAGAAGTGTAATTTTGGATGAAGAAAATGGTGTATTGTCTGGAATGAAGGAAGGTGGAGTTATTGTTGATATGACTACTTCTCAACCTTCTCTTGCTGTTGAAATTTATAACAAGGCTAAGGAAAAGGGTGTTTACAGTTTGGATGCTCCTTGCAGGTGAGTGATCATTTGTTATTGGACTAGTTGACTAATTTTTAACACAGTGGAGGTGATATTGGTGCTAGAAATGCCACTCTTACCATCTTTGTTGGAGGTGATGAACCAGTTTTGGGAGCTGTTACTCCAATCTTTGAATCTATCGGAAAGACTATCAATTTTATGGGAGAAAGTGGTAAGGGACAACATGCCAAGATGGCCAATCAAGTTATTATTGCCACCTCAATGATTGGTGTTTGTGAAGGTTTATTGTACGCACATAAGGCTGGTTTGGATGTTCATCAAACTCTTAAGGCTGTTTCAGGAGGAGCTGCAAACTCATTCTCCCTTCAATCATATGGTCCAAGAATTTTGAAGAGAGATTTTGAACCAGGTTTTTATGTTGAACATTTCATTAAGGGTTAGTTTATTTATGAATTATCTTGCTAATTATTTTGTAATTATAATAATAATTATAGATATGGAAATTGTTTTGAGTGAAGCCAACAAGATGCAACTCGTTCTTCCAGGTTTGAATTTGGCCAAAATGTTATACGATTCATTGAGGTAAGTTTAATTTCTCATTCATTTAAACTAATATTCTAATATTTCTAATATTATTATTATTATTATATTACAGAAACAATGGTGGAGCTAAGAATGGTACTCAAGCTCTCATCTTGGCTTTGGAACAAATCAACAATACCCAAATCAAGAAATATGATATCTAAATTTATAAAACTATTTGCCATTCCATCCCAAATTCCAAAAATCTTTTTATGCATGGATGATCCAAATGAAATGCAATTTACAACAAATCAAAAAAGCGAGATTTTCATTGTTCAATACAGTTACAGTACCAAAATTGGTGGTGTATTTGTTTGGAGGTACCCACCTCAAAAGATTTATTCTCATCATTTTTCATCACACAGAAGAAAAAAATTCATAGAACATCATCGCAAGCCAAGCCAAGAACAACCCAATCCGAATATTACTAATATCTTTTCATTGTGTATTTTCTTTAAAAAAGATCTACAAAGATCTGAGGATTTTCTCAATCATTTGGATTACGGAATCAAAAGAAATTTTCCTCATTAATTTTCATCACATTAAAATACAAAAAACTTTTAGAATTTAGTAATAGTGATAGATTTATTAGTAAAATAGAGAGAGAAAGAAGAGGAGAATATGATAAATTCATCATCATCATCATTAGGTCGTTCCGAAGAAACAAAAACACCAACGAAGGAAAATTCAATTTTTCGACCAACACCCAAACTTACTTCCATCGATTTTACTTGTTTATATCCTAGTTCGGCTTCAAAAGTAGCAGCTGCTGTATCGAGGTCGTATGATTCATCATCATCTGAATCCTCTCCCTTGTTGAGGTCGTTTAGTTTTCCATCCATTTCGTCACTTGCTTCACCATCAGCAAAATCAAAGGCTTCTAAAAAACCAAACAGTACTTTTGGATTGGTAAATGGTAATGATCATCATCTTTATATAATAGAAGGAACAGGTGGTGGAGCAGATGATGGTGGTGGTGGTGGAGGAGGAGGAACTGCAGCTTCCAAATCATCATACTTTGTTACGGAATCACTTTTGCAGGAGAGAGTTAAATTCATAAAGGAGAGAATGCTTCTGTTGGTAGATTTATCAGGAGTTACTCTACGAAGTCTTCAAGATGTTAATACAGTACAGCAAGTATTGCAGGAAAGTATTGGATCTCATATGAGAACAATTTTACAAACAGCACAAAAACATCGAAAGGATAAGAATGGAAAACTCTACTTTCCAGCCACTTCATCTTCATCATCACTGAGACAACAGCAACAATATCAGATGGATTGTTTTGTTTGTTATGATAATTTTACATATTACAATTCAGAGTTGTGGTCTAAATTTCAAAACACGATGGAATATCTGCAACAACAATTTAACTTTAGAACATTTGAGGAATTTACTTGTAGAACACAATTTGAGGATCACATTGTTGAAACGACAAATATTATGGATAGTAGTCATTTGGCTGAATCACACACTTTTAGTCGATCTCTTTCACCACCAAAATCAACATATTTCCAACCATCTTCTCCCAATAGTACAACAACTTGCTCATCCAGTTTTGGAAATATCACGTCATATTCAATGAGTAGTGTGCTCCCTTCCCCAAGTGAAAGTACTGCTCAATTTGATGCTGCTCAGCAAGAACCTATTGTGGTGAAGAATGTCATTGAATACTGCTTGAGATATAGTAGTCCACCAACACCTAAGTCAAGCAATCATATTGTGGATGAAAAGAATTTAAAACCTGCCGATATTTACATGATCATTAATGAACAATTTGAACTTTATAGAATTTTGAGTAAAGGGACCTATGGTACAGTTTACAAGGGATTGGATAAAGTGACTGGAAAGAATGTTGCTGTGAAAGAGTTGGATCTTGAAATGATGGATAAAATTGGAGCAATAGAATTTGCCCAAAGAGAAGTGGAAATTATGAAAATAATTAAGGAGAATCCACACAAAGACATTTGTTTATATTGTGACTGAGTTTTGTGAGAATGGAGCTCTGGAGAATCCACTCGAAGAGCACGAGCAACACAATGAAGACGATGTACAGAGATATTTCGTACAAATGGTAATGGCCATTGATCACATGCATAATGTTTTGTCAATTTTGCACAGAGATTTAACATTATCCAATGTGTGTTTGGATGCTGATAGAAATGTCAAAATTGTTGATTTTGGTTTGTCAGATAAATTCGAGAAGGGCAAGAAATATCACAGATTATTTGTTGGTAATGGTGCTTATTGCTGTCCAGAATTATTGCTCAAAAAGTGTTATGCAGAGGAAATTGATATATACGCTTTGGGTGTTGTACTTTACAAGCTGCTCACTGGTTTTTTGCCTTTCAAGACAGCTAAGGAAAAATTTGAAATGAACTATTACATTCCACTTGAGGAAGAGGAAGGAATTTCGGAAAAGACCAAATATGTAATTGAACATTTATTGGAAGTCAACTCGGCCAATAGATGGACATTGGAGGATGTCATGCAGAGCGATTGGTTTTTGGATGGCTACAAGAAATGGATAACGAAGAAGTAATTTTGACCTATTTCTTCATCAATAACAACTAGGTACATTTTGATTGTAAATAAATACGAGTGATGAAAGTAATTCCTTCAGTTGTTTGAAAGTGTAATTTTGTTGCCAACATATTTGGGTGGGTATTCATTCATAAAATCCTGATCTCACTAAATCTTTTATCTCACTAGCAACTCAATGAAATGAAAATCGAACAAATCTAAGGCACAGTTTTATTTCACTTTTATTTCCTAATCACTTTTTTCGATTCTTGTACAAATTCCAAAGTGGTCTGATAGGAAAATATCTGGATTCGTCTGAATTGGACTAGTCCCCAATAGTTCAACAAATGTTGGTTTCCAAGATTTGGATTTGAGCATAACTCTGTCATATCTCATCAACTCTTCTTTTTGACCTTTAAGCATTGTATTAACTGAGGTATCGAAGGTTTTTCCAAGCTCATTAGATGGATATTTCAACTCCTTCCAGATATCAGTGTAGCTCTTCCAATTTTCATTATTCAAATAATCATTTTCAAGGTAGGGAAGATAATCTTCATCATAATTCCTCTCAGAATCAAAATTAAAATCACCACACAGTACAGCATTATCAAATGCTTGTTGAAATTCACTAATAACATCCAATTGTTTGAATCTCATATCAGTAGAGGCCAAACTTTCCAAATGAACTGTTGATATACAAAAACTCTCCTTTCCATCATTCAACTCAACCGACAAACAAGCTCTATACATTCTAGAAGGCAATGTATTATAAAACATTCTCCTCACAGGCAATCCCTTCCTCACAGCCATCAACACTCCATACGGATCCACAGTTGTATAATAATCATTGGGAGAATCAGACAAATAATACTCCTTTCTTATCAATTCATGAGAAGCAATGAATTCCAATGCCTCATCAGTTACCTCCTGAAAGCACATCACATCAGGTAATTCCTCTCTCGCCATTAGCATTTGCATTATTCCCTCCATTCTTTCCTTCATCATCAAGGGAGCAAACCAAACATTAAACGTTACAATATTTAAATATTTGGGAATTAATTTAGAGTTTATCTTCTCCAATGCATCAACACTCTCCATACAATGCCATTCCGAGGATTGATCATTAAATTGATGAGGATAGATACATCTCCTCTCTGTAGGAAATCGATCAAGGAAATGAAAGCCTTGCGAATGATTGGACAATTGATTGAGAGTTTCAATCTGAAAAGCCTCGGATCGTGTGCCTGTTATTGTCTTCGTTGTTAGATAGGAGTGTAATTTTCTCTTTCCAAAGTACATCATTTTTTTTTATAATATTTAATATTTAATATTTAATAATAATATTTAATAATAATATTTAATATTAAGGAAAGTTGAAATTTGAGAAATTAAGAGTTTGGTTTTTAAAAAGTATTTGTTGATGATTCTGGACTTTCAGGTAAAACTCCCTTTTTCTTCTCAAACCATTCATTGTACCAGGAACGACCCTGATGAACGGACATGTTATCTCTGGCAGCTGACGAATATCCAAACTGATCGATAATGCATGATGTATCGACAGATATCTTTCCCCTGTAGGTCAGATTTTCCAGAATCTTATTCATTCCTTGAGAGAGCATCTTGGCTCTCTTTGTCATTAATTTTCCTGATGTGAATTCTTGGAGAGGAAGTTGGAGGTCAGTATACATGATGTGATAGAGACGAGTGCTATTCTTGAACTCGCCACATCTGAACATAATGTAGTAGCTTAGTAAGGTGTCGACTGGTAATGAGTTTTTGGAAAATTCATCTGCTGAAGATTGACTCGATTCATAATCACATGCATGCTTAACAATCATGATCATATCTGTTCCACTATCATGAATGGTTGTTCCAACCATTTTCATGTGTCTCTTCTTGGCCATTGGTAATTTTATATCAAAATTACAAGAAATCTTTTGTAAACCATAGGGACATGGATTCTTAGGATCACTATTTGGAGGAACGTATCCATGACATTCGTGTTCCTTATAACACATTGAGTCGAATTCCATTTGGTTTTCAGTATGACAGAAAATAGCCCACAAATCCTCAATTGGATACTCCAAATCGATGACAATCTTGGAAAGTTTCATACCTTTCGAGCTGTTATCGAATAGATATGAAGTCTTGGAGGTATAAACTGAATAATTCAACTTGGAATCTTTGGTAACTAACTCCCAATCAGGAGTCTCTTCACATAATCCCAGTCCAAAATAAATGTAATCGTCCGTTATGGTGGGCACTCTCAAATCTTGAGGTTTAAATCTCAAATCAACATTGTAACCTTTTGAGATATCAACACCCATAGTTCTGGTGTATTTCTCACCCTTTTCCTTTAGAAATTTCATCAAGAATTCACTCTTTGAAAAACTCTGAAAATGGCTCATCTTTAAATCGACAGATGCCATGAGCATGGCTTGTCCGAATAAATCTTCTGGATCCAATTGATAGCTTATAGTGGTCAGTATTGACATTCCCTGCGCCGATTTGTCGTGTGGTGTCGAATCAAAGTTTCCACTGCCACCTGATCCACTATTACTTGCAGAGCCGCTGCTGCATGTTGAGCTGGATGACAGAGATCCAGAACTGATTGTCAAAGTGTCTGGAGATTGAATGTTATTGAGATCCTTTCCAGAACCTGAGGATAATGTATCTGATTCTCCACTGTGTCTGATCATTTCGCTAGCTCTTCCAGAATCTTTCAGATAATTATTGAACAAAGTGAGTATTGAATCCCATTTTTCTAATGTTTTACTCTGTACTGTTGCACCAAGATTTAACTCACTATTCGATTCCAATTCTACAAATTCGTCAATAATTTCCTTTGCTTTGAGGACAAGATGCTTAAGCGATCTTCTGAGCTGTCTTTCGTTTCGTTGTTGTTGTTTAGTATTTACATTGGTTGTGGAGATGGTTGATGTATTTACAGAGAGGGTTGGTGAGGTTGGAGAAGTGATTTGATTGAACGTATGCATATCTGAATCGTGATAATCTTTCGAATAGGATTCAACTCGTCTCATGAATCTGATAATTTCATCTCCAAACCTTTCTTTTAGATATTCTGAGAAAACATTCATGAAATCCTTCGATTGTATGGCTTGTTCATAGTAGATGAGGTAGTTTCTCGGATCGAAATTGGTGGCAGACATTCTGATGAGAGGATGAATTGTTTAGAATAGAATTTAAAGATCTGTTGTATGTTGAGTGTTGAGGCAATTTTTCGAATGTTGATTACTAATGATGCACACCACACATGTTCTCTATTGGTTAGAAATCCAACTGTGCATACAACAAAACCTAAGGTTGCTGGCATTTCGAATAAATGTCTTCTGAAATAAGTTTACATCGTCCAAAATTGGTCAAAATAGTTCCTTTTTTCCAATAAACAATCATTTATATAAAATCTACCTGTCAATATATTTGTATTACTGTTTTGAACCTTTCAAATGCCAATTACGAATAAAGATATTAAAGAGCCAATTGATTTAATTCCTTCTTATTAGAAAATTTATCTGTTTTCATATGATTAATTCAACAACAAAATCAATTATTCAAATCAAACATTTCATCATTTTCTTTTTATTAAATATTCATTTTGAATTTAAAAGTAAAAGAGTGTTCCTTACGTGGTAATCGCCAAGCAGCAGAATCGTGTCTGGCAATGTATAGTGTAAGTTCCCTATGGACAATCAGACAGTACCACATAGACGCCCATTATATCTTCTGGTGACTCTAATAGATTGTCGTTAAGAATTCTAGGAATTGGGAGGCTTTTTAATCGTGATGAAGAATGTTGCAATTTCCTTGTTTAAAAATTATGGTTGCATTTTTTTGAATTTTTTACTTTTTGAAAATTATTTCGAGTGGATTTTCATAATGAAATTGAGTATCATATAACTGTTATATTAATTCACACTTGGTGTTATCTTGGATTGGAGTAGCAACTACATTGGTCAAGTCAACATTGTGATTGAATTTCAAAACAGTGTTGGAATGTCTGGCTTTTTCTGCTTCAAAAACTAAAAGGTGAGAATTGAGAGTTTCTCTTGCATTGGAAACAAGTTTGGCAGAATCATTCAATCCAACAGCGTCAATAAAGTGATTCATCAAGTAAAAGTCAGCAAAACCATGTCCTCTCAATGAAGTATTTGGAAGTTCTTGATTCAAATCGATAGTCTTGTAGGATCCTGTTAAAAAATCAAAGTGTTTGATTTCATTTCCAATAACTTCAATTTCTCCCTTAGTTCCATAAATTCTACTCTTTCTTTCGCAAATTTCCTTCGAGTAGGCAATCATTGTAAAGGTGCAAGTGGCACCATTATCGAATTGAAGAGAAACAACTTGATTATCAACAACATTATTATCTGAATCATAGACACATCTACCGTAATTATTAGTCTTTAAAGAATTAATAACATTTTCAACAGTTGGCTCTTCACCACTTTCTACTATAACTGAAACAGGCCATCCAGTTTCTCCCATCTTGACTTGATCCAAGTAAATTTTCTTGGCTGAGTAACAGCAATTTTCCTCAATAGAAGATGGGCAATCCAAACATCTACTGGCTGCTCCCTCTGGCTTATTCTCTTTTCTGCAATGAATCAATGATCCAAATGATGATACATTCACAACCTTTGCTGGTTGCATGACATAACTAATCCAATCAATGTCGTGACAAGATTTGGCAAGAAGCATTGGTGAGGAAGTGTTTTCATTTGCCCACTTTCCTCTCACATATGAATGTGCATAGTGGAAGTAACCAACAGGTTCCAAATGTTGAATATTGATAATATTTCCAATGAGTCCACTCTTGAGAAGTTCCTTCAATTTTTGAGTATAGATGGAATATCTCAGTACATGGCAAACAGCAAGTTTGACATTATTCTCCTCCACAGCTTTGGTAATTCTTTTACAATCTTCCTCATTTACAGCCATTGGTTTTTCAAGTAAAATGTTAAACTTTAAGTGAGCAAAGGCAATTGCTGGCTCAACGTGATACTGATCCTGTGTAGCAATCACTACAGCACGTTCATGGCTCTCATCCAAGAATGTAGCCTTATTATTATTCTTTTTCAAAGTGTGATACAATGTTTGCCAATCAGTAAAACAAACATCCTCCGATAAATTGTACAACTTGATCATTTTGGCTCTTACAGCTTTTCTAGGCTCAGCAATGGCCACAACTCGGCAATGATCTGGAAATTCCCTTGCATATCTTGAATAGTTTTGCCCTCTTTGACCAACTCCAATAATTACTATACATTTTATAAATCAAATTTGCATTGAATAGCATATTCATCATTTCCGCACAAATGTTTTTAATATCAGTGATCATGTTACTTCTTCCTTACATACCCAAATCGACAATCTTTCTTTCTGTTGTTGACATTTTTTTCTTTTTTGATGGTAATGAATTCAAACGTTCATCCTACGTATTAAAATAGCATTTGGTTAGCTGATGTTACTTATTGTTCTCTCTAACAGAAATATTCATAGCAATTTGATGACGATTCAAACGGCTAATAGTGACGAATGCTTGGAGAACATTTTTTTCACATTGTTCCTTCCCAAGAGTCTTCTCAATTTGGTTTCACTTCATTAAAGATCAATGTGGATGAATTCTTTCAAGCTTCTTCTCCAACACAAGATGTACTAATCGACGCTCTTTACAGTAAATAACAATAATACAGTATTCTTCTTATTCATGAACAACAAAAACATTTCTAATCGTCTTCCTACAGGTTTACAAAGTCGTCAAACACACAAGCTAAACCAATCATCCATCATCTTTCTCCGATCATCAAAAGCAAGCGAATCAGCTTTTTTCACCACACAGAAGACTTTGTACTCTTTGCATGACGAGCCATCAAAGCCTTCTTCTTTTTCACTTTAAAAAATTTCTCATCGCATTTTGGAGACTCACACACTCGTCAAGTCTACACCAAGTCGACGTCTGCTGCAGATTTTACTTGTGAAGAGCACCCAATAACAACAACAATAACATCAACGATAACAACAGGCCTTCCGTTTTTCTCTCTCTGTGCTAGTTTATATATCCGTATAAACAACTTTCTGATTGCTTGTATAATAGTAAGTAATGAAGAGTGGAATGATGATGATATAATATAATAATGATATAATAATTATATTTATTATTATGTGTGATGATAGTAGTTGGAATTGGTACAATATTGTTTAAAAAGAAGTTTTTCGATCATCATATTTAATTTATTATTTAATGTCAATGTCTTTATTTAGAATAGGTTCCAATGGAACTTTAAATCCAAAGGATGAGAAGAAAATTCTCGACGATACTGAACAACCTTTGAAAAGATACAAATGTCTTGCATCATTTAACAAGGATGGTGCAGATACAGAGTTACGGGCGTTCTATCAAAAGAATTATTCTATTGTTTATAACATCTTTTTGGATACTCTGAATTCTATGAATTCAGAAGCAAAGAAGAAATGTGAGTTGTTATTAATGTTTTTTCATGTTTTACTAATAATAACCTATTTCTAATAGCTAAAACTATTCCAACAAGTGATGTTTTAGGACTTACTGATATTTTACTCAACTTGTTTGCACACTCTTCGAACATCATTCAAAAAAAGTGGCAACAACGTTCCATCATTCACACTCTTGAACTGTTATTGGATGAGCAAAACATCTTCCAAATTCGTTTCAAGGGGTTCGAATTGATTGTAAGATTTGTAGATATTATGCAAGACAATGTTGATAATCAAGTTCTTGATATGATTATGAATGCTCTTAAATTTAAACCATTGACAGAGGATTCACGTGATATCAAGCTCCCATCATTTGGTCAACGTGCCTTGAATACTGATGAAAAGTTGGCAGTTGCCACATCTACAAATGATTTGACAGTTGAAGAAGATTATCAACTTTTCACATTCTTTTTCACATTTATGAAGGAATCTGATCACTTTGATTATTGGTGGAAATTCTTTAAACTTCGTCTTGCACCAATCTTTTATCCTAATGAATGTAAGAGTTTAGATCTTTTAAACAAAATGGACGATATGGGTTTCACAGAAAAAGCTCCAACAAGAATTCACTTGTTAATTCTTGATGTTATCATGTCTGGCTTGGAAAGTCCAAAGAATTCTACTATTCTTTATCAAAGTGATAAAGATATTTATCTCTTCTTGATGATTTTCAGACAAAGTTTCCTCCTCCCACCACAACACTACGAACAGTTAGCCAAGATGATGAAGACTTATCGTTCATGGATTTGTAGAGATTACTTTTTATACAACTGGCCTGAAATTATGGAAAGAAACAGAAATCTCTACTTCCGTATTTTCATTGATAATTTGAGTCAAATTTTCTACATGAAAGGAGATGAACAATATATTGATTTGCATATCACTATGAGTTATGAAGTTTTGGAAATGTTCATGTTCTTTACACAAATTTCTGACAAGATTGACTTTGAAACATGGAGTGATTTACTTTCTGCTCACAAACGTATCTGTTCTACTGTGGTTGATAGAAAGACTAAAGGAGGTGATAACTACGACGTCATGTATAGCGATATTTTAGAAAAGACCTGCTTTAGAAATTTGTACATAATATGGATCAAGTCTCACCCAACAGATCAATATCCTAAATTGTGGGAAGAATTATACGAATTAATGCAAAGTTATGCTCACATGCCATCTGCTTTTGGTTTATGGCGTGCTACTGTTCTCAATCTTGCTCGTATTGTTTGTGAACAAATCTTTGAAATGCCAACAGATAGAATGAGAGTTGGTTTTATTGAATATACAACTGATATGTATACTGTAACAGTTGTAAAGAAGAAGGCCAAAACTGAAAAGAAACAACACATTTTCCAAGGAATGGATACTTACATGTCAAAGAGTATTTCTATTGATACTGTTTTGCATCTTTTCCACAAGTTTTTGAACATGTTCGGTAATGAGAATACACAACTCACTAACGGAGCCTTGCATGCAAAGAAAATGGTTGTTTTGAAGGAAGTTTTGGATCTTTTCTTGGATATTGAAATTACTGAAGTCAAGGCTGTCAGAGGTTCTACCAACAGTGTTACATTCCTTCACTCACCAGAAGGTAACAAGTTATTTGCCATCCTTTTGGAATGGATTATTGAAGCTTGTGATAGAACTGATGATCAATTCGAATCTGGACGTGTTATTGCTTATACCATGATGTGTCAAATCTTGGTCACACAATTCAGTCAACCTTTGAATGTTCAATACCTTGCCAATTGTTATAGAGCTCTTTTCAAGGGATTGGTTCCAGAATATACAGCCACTGATCGTACTATCGAAGCAATCATCAAACACGGCTGGAACATTTTCAGTATGGGTCACATGGGTTTGAATATTCTTGTTCCATACTTTGTTCAAGCATGTCAAAAGGTTCTTAAGGAATCAAGTGCTACAATTGGACCAGAAACTCAAGAATTGCGTATTGCTGCTGTACAAGGTCTTACCTCCCTCATTCCTATTTGCTACTTCTATGGAGATCGTCCTCTTCCTCACGTTGAAACAGTTTTGAAACTCAAACAAGCCAAGTTGGAAAATTTGAACCCAGAAACTGTAACCACCTTCACCAAACTCAGAGGTCGTATTGTTCAAACACTTCAATCTTGTGTTCAAGATGACAGATTTGTTGATGTTCAAATCAAGTGTATTTGGGGTCTCTATGCTATTCTCCACAATGAGCTCCAACTTGAAGGAGTTAACGGAAGATCTAATCCATCCAGACAAATTGTTGAAATGTTCATCAAGTTCTTTGTTGACAAGAATGCTGATGTTGCCTGTGCTGCTCACGATGCTGTAGTTACATTGGCTCATTTAGGTTTATTCACCAAGTTAGGTGTTCCAACCATTCGTACATTCTTGTTGACCATCTGTACTGCCTTGTCCTCTCAGTTGAAGGATTCTGATTCTGCCTTGGCACAATGGAGCATTTTCAAACACTTGTTCTATTCCATTGTTGAAATTTTGCAATACATTCCAATGAAGGTTTTGGAAAGCAAGGAAGTTGCCTCAATGCTTTTCAGTGCTATCAATAGAGGTTTATCTGTTGTTTCATTGAGTGTATTGTTGACTCCACAAAAGGATACTGTAACTGAAGCTGCCACTGAAGACTCAGCTGATAGAGGAGCCAAGATGTATTCTTTCGAAAATTATACACTCAGCAAGGAAGACAGTGCTTTGGAAATTGCTACTGCTGCCGAAAGCTTGTTGTGTTATGCTTTGAACGTTTTCAGTCAATTCCCAACTCCTATTGGTGCTGCTAGAATGAGTACTGAAATTTCCGAATTTGATGTCTTGCAAGAAGAAAATGGCTTGTATGTAACTTCTCCAAAGGTTCACCACTTTGTTTTCAACAATTATACCTTGTTGACAATTATGGAAAATCCAAACAAGACTGAATCTTGTGTTGTAATTTTACGTGACATGACTGGTAAATATTGTTGGGAATTCAAGCAAGTTTACTCTCCAGAAACAATGACCTTCAAGAAGGATAACATGGTTAGAATTGACCATTTGGAATTCGATGAATTGGTAGATGATGAATCCAAGTCTGGTGCCAAGAATTCAAATGCTCCAAGAGCTTCCAAAGCTGGTTTTGATAGCCCTGGTTCTCCAGAAGAAGATAGAGCCTCATTCTATGTATCAAGCATTGTTAATCGTGGTGACGAAGAATTGTTTGATGCTGATGATCCTCGTGCTGAACCAATTGTCAGACAAGATTTGGCAGCAGTTGATCTGCCAGCTGATATCGACCAAACAGGTGGTTTGAAGGTAGATAAGGAATCATTCGAAACACCAGATATCAAGGTTCCAGTAACTGCCCAACAAGAAACTAAGGAAGATTCTGATGATGACGAAGAAAATCATGAAGAAGAAGAAGCCATCAAGGTTGAAGAACAAGAAAGCCAAATGGCTGGAGATGAAGGTGCTGAAGAACTCGATTATCCTCACTATGATATTGAAATTGATACTGATAAGACTGATATGCTTGAAGTTTTGCAACACTATGTTACTCAAGTTTTCCCAGAATGTGCCG